ATCGAGAAATTATTAGCATGCTAGAACATGCTTGATAAACTTTTGGTTTACAAGTTTTTGTCCTAATATTTGTGAAATAGAAATAATTCTAGACTGTTTTCCTGTATATCAAAAAAATATTGATATATTAGTACTTATTTATTAAGCTTTTAATTTGTAATCTAGAATATAGCTAAGTCTCACTTCTACAAGATGAGATTTAGCATATGATACCAAAGATTAGACTTAGTGATCTATGTAATCAAATATGAATCAACTTTAGAATTAATTCTAAGATATCATGAAATATGATATGCATTTTAGACTTGCATGGTCAGGTTCAGCTCAAATCGCGTTACTTCATTTCTTAATTTTTGATGGCCTCTCTAGAGGCAAGCAGAATAGCATAAAAGTTATTATTCATATTAGGTTTGCAATGTTAAGCCCAGCTCAAATTGTGTTATTTTATTTCTTGATTTTTGATAGGCCCTTCAGAGACAAACAGAATAGTTAAATTTTTTGATATATTATTTGGGATTAAAATCGGGCTAGAAAAGCTATATCAAATAATGTAATTCTTGGTATTTGAAGGGTAATTCCTAGCTAAATTCGATACTAACATCTTTAACTAGATTTGAGCCAATTCGCGCAGGAGGCTTGAATTTAATAATTGATTCATATAGCTAGAATTGATTTGCAGGCGGCCAGTAATCTTTCTGTATATTATTTTGAAATTTTGTTCTAGAATTCCTATTTTTGCCTTATTAGAATCATCAAATTTGGCAAGTTCCTATAGAGAATTTGCCAAAATAACATTTTTTTTTAAAGAATCATTAAATTAGCAGGTTCTTATATAGAGTTCGCCAAAATAATGTATTCTCCTAAAGAATCATTATTTTTAATAGATTCTTATAGTGAGTTTACGAAAATAATAAATTCTTTTAGAGAATCATTATTTTTGATAGGTTCCTATAGTGAGTCCGCAAAATTAATGATTTTTTTAGATAATAGTCAAATTTGAAGGGTTCCTATAAAGTATTTGCTCATAGTAATTATAAATGCAAAATTGTTATTTGTTTGTATTATAATAACATATGTTAAATGGCTTAATTTTAGCAAAATAAACTGGTTAGATCATTTAGGCCATTATCTGTATATACTGATTATTAGTATAAATGTACTATTGCAAATAAGGGTAATAAAAAAAATAATATTTTTATAATAAAGATCTCAATATAAATATTATTGTAATGCGGAAACAAAAATAATCAACAAATAAATTAAGAAGTATAATACAAAAAGAAAAATCAAATCAAACAAAATTTTTTTAAAAGAAAAAATTGAAAATAATCAACAATTAAATGAAATAAAATTACATATTATTAAATTTAATGCATTTCAAAGTGGCAAGTAACGAATTTATTTTAATGATAACAAGCTTATAGCAAATATAATAGCTATATAATTTAAATTCAATTTCACAAGATGCATTACCAAAATTGGTCAATATACTGTATGTTAGAATTAACTTTTCAGATCTTTATGACCATTCATACTCTTTGGCAAGATGGAAGAAATATGTCACTTGTGACATCAGGAATCAATTAATAAGCATTTCCGTCATCCAAGCCACAAGCCTCCTAAGAATGCCGTAGGAAGGAACTTTAAAATGCTTTGTTTCACTCTTAGTTTATGATAGAATTTGAACAACTTGTAATTAGATAATTCATTTCTCTTTGGGCCTATTACAATATTAGTTGCATTTGATATATTTATCTCACATTTATTTAATAAAATTAAATTTCTTTATTTATTTAAATTAAAACTTTATTTAATTCTTTAACATTTGATATACATTTATTATTTCGTTATATTCAATAAACTAAATAAAATACATTATCATATGTAAATTAGGATTTTTTTTTTACGTATAAGTTTAAGACTTAATTAAGAAATTTTGAGTCGTCAGCTTGTTAGTAATATTCTGTACTATCAATAGAAGTCTCGGAACCTTTTCGCCGGCTACCTATAAAAAATAAACCAAGTCTAGAGCTTATCAAAATTGTCTGATGTAATATCAAGAAAAATCCTTTTTGACTCTTAAAACTGGTCAAGAAATCGTTCAGGTTTCCTGAAAATGGTTAGAAAATTATGCATGAGTCATAGCAATTTCTAAGAATATTATTTAGTTTTTATCGCTATAGAAATTTTCCGAAAACTACAGTAGTTATTGAAGATTAAAACATAAATTATCATCATCAATAAGACAGATTATTTATATATTCATCTGATTGACTAAGTATGTGAGTAAAACTTTTTCATATAAACGAATAACGCATAAATTTTAAATGATATGTTTTATTGAAAAGGATTTTAAAATAGGTATCGTTATTTTTTGGATTTTAGAGATCAGTACAAGAGAACAAGTGTGTTGCCAAAGCAAGTAAATGAATCTTTGAAGCAAGTCACCTGCAACTGCATTAGTGGAAATTTTCCGACATTGCATGATCAGGAATAATAAAAAGACCAAATAATACATCAAAAATTACTCGAAAAGGCGCAAGCAAGATCCGGAAAAAATTATATGTTCGCTGCCTCCCGAACGGCTGAATTGATCGACATTTTAACTTTTTTTTAATTGATTTTAATATTTACGGCCATAAAAAGCATAAACTTATCAGGTTAAATAAGCCTTTCTTATAATTATAAAATCGAAATAAAAATTTATATATTTGTCATCGAATTTTTTAAACCTATGTAAATTTATTTTAATTTCCTTTTGAGATAAAAAAGGCGCAATAGCTTCGTTGATACAATTTTATGATGATCTGTTCTATCAGATTTGTCATTAACAAATTGGTGGGAAACATTAAAAACATTAACAGTTCTATTTAAAATTAAAGCCTTAATATTTTAACAATATATTTAAAGAAGTAATGATTTTGATGGGATAAATTTTTTTGATGTATTTATTGTATTTATTCGGTTTTTCGTTCGATTTGAATAGTTAGTTGTACATGTTACCCCCCCCCCATTTTCGTGAAGAATGTAATTAATGAAAGTTTTTTAAAAAAATTATCATCGTTCAATACGATATATTTCTTCAAAGTTTAATAATGACTTCGCGAATAATGATTAACGCAAAAATTCTTATTCTTGATTTTTTGAGTGTATATTAATTGGTTTTTGTAAAGCAGAATGGCATTTGGGCGTGTGCCAAATGGACAAGATTGACAAATTGACAATACTGGTTAGTATTTGGTTGGCATTTGGCCGCGGCCAAAAGGTCAATGGCCAAATACTAACACATCTTTAAATTAAATTTTTACAGATCACAATTTATCCAATATTTCCAAATTTAAATTAGACAAATAATTTTGTATTAAATTGGGCTTCTTTTTTTTTGATGTTTCAAATTGTTATGTCTACGCTGACCGTGCAGGTCTGGGACGTTTATGATGTTTTTTGGTCAAAATATTAAAATTGACTGCGCCTAATTGAATCGCTGCGGTAATGACGACTGGCACGAAAATTATTAAATTTTGCATTTATTCGGTGCACCATGCGCTTTGCACACCATGTATAATGTGGCTAATTTTTAATAAATCTTACACTAACCCTAATCCCAAATCATAAGTAAACTAACCTTAACTTACCTAACCCTACGTCACAAGGTGAGGGTAGCGTCTGTGACAAAATAACGAGTGACAAATAGGACTTCACTCCCTAAAAAAAATCTATTTCCAGATTAAATAGCAAAAAATGAAACATGGTGAATGTGACGAAGTGTGACAGTTTATCATATAAGTCTAGATGCACACAGTGCACGGGTGCATCAAATAAATTTTCCCTTAAACCTTGCATAAAAATTGCGATGAATATCGAAAGAAAGCTTAAATAATTTAATAATATAGTTGCGATACAAATCGAAAAATGAAGTGGATAATGATCATACCCTTCGGGATTTCGATCTTCGGGTTTGAACGGTATCCGTCATCTTGAACCAAATCATGTATGTTAAGCATGTTAGGCGAGGAAGGCATTTAGGAGGGATCATGATTTTTAAACATAACATGTTCACATGACGGCTTTTCAGCTATCTCAAATTCATATATATAGTAATGATTATTTCTTAATTATACAGTAGTTGTGATAAAAAATTATATTTCATTCAAAAGTTTCCATTTATGAATTTTATTGATGCATAAATGGGAACCTTATCAGGATGAGTTATTATCAAAATCTAACTCACAAATCAGCCAAAAGAGTAAAACAAGAACATTAAGTAATGCATCAATAAGAGCGCGTCAGAATTCTATTTTATGTATCTCCGAGATTACGCGCTGCGAATAGTATTATTTTTACACCTTACATATTCATCAGTTTTCGCGCTATTGTACAATTGGTTCAATGAGTCACGAATTAATAATCGCAATATCAAAGATGACAATAGATTGATCCTATTATGACAGTCTTCAGTAAAATGAATTTTACTACAAAAGTAAAACAAAGGCTAATGATACATTTAAAGACTAGTATGTTGTTTGATTATATTCATAAAGTCTTTCGGCTAAAAGAGTTCGGTAATGCCCTTTGATCACGATAGTCAGAATATGGTTAATTCGGGCGTTCACTCGTAAAAGCAAAATTTCCTATTTTCAAACGAAATTAAATGGAAAGTTTGTCACTTTCATAAAAAATATTTTCTACTTTTATTACAAAATTAAATAACAATAAAAAAATAAAAAAAAAATAAAAGACAGAATTATTCCTAAAAAGGTATTGATTTGCGAATCTTTGCCAAAAAATAAGTGATGAAAAAGATGAAATTTAAATCAAATCTTAATTTTCTTAATAATTTTATTTTAATTTTTATCAAATCTTAATTTTCTTAATTGCAATGTTATTCCTATTTTTGCCAAATAAAACTATAACGATAATAAATAATAACTTTGCAAATTTAAATTAATTCGAATACGAAGAAACATATTTCGTTCCCAAATATTTAAGAATTTACATGTTTATTTCTCATTATTCTTCTTATCTAAAGAAGACGTTGGAAGGTGATTATTATGGTCGATGTTGTTATTATTAAAATCTTGAATCGTCCAATTTGCTAATTTTTGTAATTCTTCCAAAGTGAAATTGGTCAAATCATATTCCAATTCGAAAGGAACATCGTTAATTGAAAACTTTGCGTTAAATATCGAATACTTTTCTGCCTTCTTTTTTGGAAATCCGTTATAAATGTTATCAACAACTTCTTCAATTCTATGGATTTTGCCAGAAAATAATTTAACGCAATTACAAGTCTCCTTACAATCAGGACAAAACTTTGGAGGTTTCTTTTTGGTTTGTCTATTATTTTCAAGGAGATTGAACTTTCGTACATATGGACGCATACGTGACTTTTGCTCATAACTTTTGGATGTCATTGTGTACGTAATAAAAAAATTGAATGATTAGGCTTATATCGTATGTGAAGGCATACAATTTTTATGAAAAAAAAGAGATTTTTTTTTGTTCTTATATTCGGTAAAAAAGTGTCCAAATGAAAATGCCGGCATACTTGCTGTGTAACCATTAAGGTATGGTTTTATTTAGTCTTTTTTTTTAATTGTTTTACTACTAAATAAGCTAAGGCAGCATAAATAGTTATAACTGATAAACCGAGAGCAGCAGCTCAAAATAACCTGCTACCAGTATATTCTAAATGGTCTCGGTAAAGGATATTACTACTTCGCTTGTTAACCAATTGTTCGCTATTTTCGTTTTCGAATATTTCTTTTGCCATATTATTTTTTTAAATTTTAAATGTTCTTTTACTCTTTTAAGAGTTGGTTTTGTTTCTGTAATATCAATTATATCAGCCAATCAGAAAATCAGAAAATTAGTAAAACCGATCAAAGAAATTTTTTACTGTAAATATTTATAATATACATATAAATACAACCAAATATTCGATTGTCAGTAAAATGATCATGTCGGCAATGTTTTTACCGAGTTGTAGTACTCATGTTGTGATTTGTTTTCTGGCTGTAACGTTCCCCCTGAACTTTGATCCATCTTTCTGTTTTAAATATATTATTATCTACATTATATTGATAATGATAACTGGAAGACCGATTTACTGTTATTTGATATCTTTTATCCTTAGCCATTTAATGCATCCTCTTCTTTGTTTAATTTAAGTTTTTCTACTATTTTTTTTTAAAAAGATTTATTCAGACAATATGAAATTATTTCCTTTGTTTGTTTTCGAAACAATGCTTGGCTTAAGTAATTCATTTTCATTCATTCATGATCTTATGACAGTGTTTATTATTATCACATTACAATACAAAGAATATCATCTCTGAAGGTATAATAAATGTACGAGAGACAAATTTTAGATATATTTACGCGTAAATATTACATATTTGTGCATGATAATATTTGAATTTATCGAATACATAACTTTTACTCCGAAAAAAAAACTGGTTTTGGGCTTATTCAATGATAAATTTACTTGATGAGTTTCATACTTTGACTATATTTAACTAAAGCTAAAAAAAAAAGGTAAATGTTGCAAATAGTTAGAAGTATAAATAGTTGTAACTTATAAGTAAACGATCGTTGTTAATGATTATTAATTATGATAGAATTCTTTAAGGAGCACGCGCTAACACGCGCAAATTTAAAATTTAAATATTATCATTAATTGATAAATGATTGCCGTTATGGAGTTGGAGTTGAATATCACAAGAATCTGTCATCAGATTCCATTAAACGTGTTAAAAAAGAACATTAACTTGTGAAAAGGCTGAAAAGTATAACCTAACAAGACCAACATCGTAATGGCTTCTTTTTGTAAAATATGTATATCAACGCCTTCTCATTTTTATGCAAATAATATAAATGATAGAAGAGAAAAAAAATATCTACATAATCGCAACAAATCATATAATCATATTGAACTTTAAATGTAAAAAAATTTCGATTCGATTTTCGTAGCTTTTATATAAAAAATAAATTATCTAATGATAATTCCGGTTAATCATAATGACACCATATACTGATAGTTAATTCGTTATAGTACTTTTGGATTAAAGTAAAAATTTGTAATTGTGCACGACTTGTTTTGGTATCTATTTTATCGAATGATATGTAAAATAAATAATTATTGTTGTGTAATGAACTTCACTTTATTTAGGGTTAAAAAGGATTATTTTAAAAATTTATTTTATGTATATTTTCAAGTCAATTTGTCAATATTCGACGTTACTTATAAAATACAAGTCTTTATAATTATAAACTTTAATGATAGTTATATGTTATGTTTCAAGTTTAAAATTTGTGACCAGTTTTCAATTCGTTGGCATATTATAATTCGTACTACCATTTTATTCTACATAACCTTTATACGAATTACAACTATCGGTTCCACACAAAATTTACCAATTAATAGATAACCATGTCCAAATTAGGATTAAAATTAATTTAATATAAAAGACTGTACCGTATATTTACTATTAATAAAAATGATTAAATAAAGTTTCTAGATTCGACAAGTAATGTTTCACAGTTTCGTAACAATCTTATATTTTAACAATAGTAAGCGTAAATCGCATCCCATTATTTGCTAGTACCGATACCTCCCTTATCGAAATCACTCTTATATCTTGTTGCAAACGAATAAAAGGAACTAGTACATTGTATTGCATGTAGAATTTTTTCAGAGATAATCTGATTATATCCTAGAAATTTTTTATTTGAAGTAAAAATTTGATTTGTCTGATTATTTTGTGTAATAAAGAACGATTGGAAACACTAAATGACTGGAAAATCGAATTAGCTTGGAGGCGGGGTTGGGGAAGTACAATGCTAGTACAATGATTAGTACAGTTAGTACATTATAATAATTAATATAAAAGTACTACAAGCACAGTGTAAATTTTATCTAGATGTGTCACGTCATTTATATTTATAACGAAAGTAAAGGTAGCAGAAAGTTTTTATTAGGTAATTATGAGGCTATATTAATTTAATAACAAGTACAGTAACAAATGTAAATAACTTATAGGTTACGAGTTTGCAGATCGGTACGTTCCTCCTGGTATTTAAAGTACGAATCGTACTGATTTTTCCTCCACTTGATTACTATGTATGACGATCGTCTATTAGGGTATATAGAAACTGTTGTACGATTATAGAAAGGACCGTACTACACCCCTCCCCTTCCCTCCCAAAAAACTAATCTTAATGTCATGTTCTTACATCGGTCGAAAGACCATCGTTTTTAGGGCAATTTGTCCAGTGAGAAAACAATAAGGCATTAAAAATTGACGATAAAAAGGAAATTATCATAAATTTTCTTTTGCTATTCTCATCGGCCTTAATTTGTCCACTTTAGAAGATGGCCACATTCCAGATAAAAAAAATAAACAATATTAGGCCGGGCAAAAAAAATTTTAAAATTGACACGGCGGTCACCCGGTTTTTATTTTTATATATAATTTTTTATAATAAAGTATATGCCACCATTACGATCCATTACGATTTTCATTATATACATTCACGTGATAACAAAAATAAATCATTTTACTAAACTTTTAATGTTTTTGATATGAACTCCTTTAAAATGCATCATATTGCTAATTCCCTAGGGATGATTTTTACGCTAAATTCAAAAAATCACGGTCTCAATCCCACTTTAAGGACCTAATCGGTCTGTAGGATACTTTTCTTCTATTGTACTTGTTCTTAAGTACTGTACATTCAAAAAAATAATCAACATTTATAACATGATTAAATTAATTTAATAACAATCAAAAGATTAAAATTTATAAAAATAAATCAAGATCATTTGGATTAGCAGAATTATGGTTATTGGAATTGTTGTTTCAAGAGTGCTGTATGGAGAAAGACCTTTAAATCTAAATAATCATCCAAATTCATGGTGGAATCTTTTATTAAAAGGGTTGTTTGAGTTTGTGACCGCATTTCCTTGTTCATAAATCTTAAAGAATATACAACATGTGAGGAGCATTGTTAAAATAATTGGAATTGATCATAAAAACTAGCCATACATAATGAAATTACATATGCTGAATAATAATTTTTCCTTAACAATAATTGTGTCAAAAACAATTATTAAAGCTAATAATATGTAAGCCTTCATTTATTGGATAAATGTAAGCTTACATATATTTAGTTCAAATTCTTTTTTCTCTCTCATCTATCAGACGATTTTAATAGAATTCACGCTGTTTTTAATGCAATGCGTACAAATCATGAAATAAATATCTTTGCTTGGGCAAAATGAAATTGTATGCATACGTATTTTAGATTCAAGGAATTTTAATGAAAGAAATTAAGCTTACCCATTTGGTTTAATTTCAGGCATTCTTCTTTAATTCTTTAATTACCATCTATTTAAGAATTTTTGTAAGTATCGGATCATCCTGTACTTATAATAGAGTATAGTTATAAGAAAGTGATTATTTGATCAGATTGATAAATAAATGGTAATACTTATCATGGCCCTCTTTAATTGTAATAAACTAATCATCCCAGATTTTCACTATGTATACCGCTCTTTCTGATCACGCGACTTTAGTTTATTTGTGAACGCCCTTATTTGAAACAACGGCAAATTCTAAAAGTTAATACTAATCAATTATATATTTACAGCTTTTAGTTTTTCATCAGATTTTCGAACTTCTGTAATTTGAGTTTTTGGTTTTCGGGTTTATATTTTGTAGTTACAGTCATTCAGACCAAACCCATTAAAAGTGATATAGGGCCTTTGCCTTTGCAATAGAAGATGGAAACGTCTGGAAAAATAAATAAAGAGTTATTGCTAAATTTGAACATATTTCGGCCTGTAATCATATTTTACCTATAAAGAAAATTTGATTTTTCCGGCAGTTTCTCCCCTTCTAATGCTAAGGTCCCATATAGTATAGTCTAGCGAAAGAAACGTAATGTTAGTTATATCTGTAATGATTAAAAGTTTTTATTGATCTATACCCGGATTTTATATCTATAGACGGATTAATCAGCGATTCGCGCCTTAATCGAATAGCTTTAAAATAGTGTTGAGCAGAACCAATTAAATTGATTTGGCACAACAACTTGTAACGAACGGGTAATTTTGCAAAAAAAAAATAAAAATAAAAATAAAAATAAAAATTTTTTTAAACAAAAGATGTTTTTAAAAAATATACAGTAGATAATAGTATTCTATTAAGATTTTTGTCAAAATATCTTATTTTTGATCGATATAATTCTTTAAAACTTGAGTCGGGTTAAATAACTCGAATCGACTTTTCGGGACTAATTTTGACTGGAAATGTAGATTTCGCCGACGTTAAGGGTGATATAGTTAATTTGTTCGAAGAATAGTACTATATGTGTCTCAATATTAATTATTCATGAAGATCGTTGTTACACA